CTGTGCCTGGCCAAAATTATTCACAAAGTACAAGACTTCCATTATTATCTAAAGCTAAATTTTGTGTAGGACCAAAACCTGACAAGATACTTTATAAAACCTTAAGGTCTAGTGAAATAAACTCACCTTATGTGGAGTCTGCAATATAAAGGTTGAATTGAGAAATCCACAACCGCTGGTAATGTGACGGCCTCACCATCACTGATGTATCTGCTGAGAAATAATAATGGTAGTGGTACTGTAATGTGATTTCACGGGACACGGGAGAAAGATATCTAGTGATGTTGCCAATCATTACAAGTTTTCTGATTTTCTTCTGTGCTAATATTTGGTAATGTAGGTTTAAGAACATAAGACTGCAGGAATGGCCAGTAAATTGATATATACTGTACCTAGACAGTGCAGGTATAAAACCAGGCTATATGACCAAGGATATTTTGTATTTCTGTATCAGCTTCTGGACTGTTATTGTATATTGCAATAAATGTGTAGTGTATACATATGAAAATAAAAAATATACTGTATATTCAATTCTTTATTTTGTATTACCTATCTACAAAGATGTAAAAACATAGTACACAATGTACAGTACATATGTAATTTTTTTCTCTGTTGCTGACAGAACATATTACCTTTTTCAGAACAATTTATAATGTAAGTTTGTTAGGTGGCAATGGTAGATACAACACTGCAGTAGCCCTCCTCCTTTATCCGGGCTTGGGACCGGCATGTTCGACTGAACAAGGCGGAGTTACTACTGTGCATTCTACGTCTAACTACGGTGCTGTTAGTGCTATCAACTATAACTTGAAAAACTTTACCTTTATTACCTCCAAGAAGCACCTTGTAGTAGGTCCAGTCAGCCACACAAACAAACCTGGAATACAAAAAACTTTAAAACATAACATTCATAAATACTTGCATATAGACATTATATATTGTCATAAGTACTTTACCTGTTTGGAGGAGTTCTCGACCAGCCACACGTTCACCTCGGAGGCGCACAATCTGAAAGAAATGAGAAAACCTTAGTCCCATCCACACACATTAAAGGTGGGAGGTTGGGTGTGTGAGAGGGTGAGTGTATGGATGGGAGTGAGGGTGTGTGTATGGGAGGACCTCCCCCACACACACCCTCACTCCCATCCATACACTCACCCTCTCTCACACCTTTCCTTATACCCAACACTCCCACCCACCCACCAACCCTCCCTCCCTCCCACCCCCCCTCCCTCCCACCCAACCCTCCTCCTACACCACCTACCCTCCAACCCAACTCACATACCTACCCATCCCAACTCCCTTCCCATCCACCCAACCTTTTGGGTGTGTGGATGGGAGGTAGTGTTTGTGGATGGGAGGATGAGGGTGTAGATGGGAGGAAGAGGGAGTGGTTAGGAGGAAGAGTGTGTGGTTGGGAAGAAGGGTGTGGTGTGCCATGCCCTCCTCCATGCAAACACAGCATCGAAAAATATTCTGAAGAAAATTGGTTTGTATTGGTGTAATATTGTGTTGTGAGGACTCATTTGTGTTTTACTATTAATGATAAGTGTGCAGGGATTATGGTGGTGTAAGAGAGAGAGGCTTATAATAGTTGTGGACAAGGTAAGAGACTTGCTGTGTGTTGGTCTGCTGGCAGGAGCAACAGGATAGGCACGGCTTATAGCACTATTTTACCCTCACTTATATATCATATTATTGTATGCCAATAATTAATATTCAATATATTTAGCAATGGTTTTACTGTATCAATTTGACTAACAAATTATAAATATAATATAATATCTTGAAGGTTCTAAGGTTCTTGTGGCCCCAGAATATACTACATATTATTTTATTGATAACTTTAAACTATTGTAACACAGTAGAGATAGGAACACGTAAAGGAAGATAGAACATGAATAAATTATAAATCTATTAACCAACAGCTCAACGTTTAACAGTTATGATACAGTTTAGGTATAGACTAAAAAATGTTTATCTAACCTAACCCAATTATATGTCCATAAGAGAAGTGGGACATCTTGGAGTATCACAAGGGAGATAATGATTAAGCATTAATGACTAATGTAATAATGCCCACAGCCATCCTGTCCACAATCCCATTAAAATCATAGACAATCTCTGCAGCTAACGGTCAAATACCCTTTGGATATTTGGCCAGCCAGCACAGTCAAATAACACCTTCATAACTTGTACTGAGCCATTATTGGGTAGTGGTGGTGGAGTCCCTTAGTACCAGAGTACTGTGTTTATATTTGATTCATATTATCCACAGTTGTTCTGTGGATGATGTAGTATTAATGGTAAAATTTCACTTGTTACCACCAAGCATTTGGAAGTTGAAATTATGCTTGATGGATGTAAAATGTTATATAGATTTGATTCTATTGTTTGAAATTTTTTGGTACAAATTTATAAATTAAAAAGTTTTGATTTTAGGGGAAAATTTGACATTTCCTACGAACATATAGGACAAGAGTGTACAGTGTATGTAATTAATTTGCATTAGTATATAAGTATACTGTATTGATTGCACCAGTATAGAATATATAACCTAATCTAAACCATACTAGCCTAACAGATGGACTATGCCAAGATCTGATTGGTTAACAAACCAGCAACTAAAATGTAAAATATCTCACTTATACAGAACTTAATTTGTGACAGAAATGCCATAGAAGAAAAGTGTTTTAGAATGATCAAAACTACTGATTGCAACCATAAAATTATCAAAAAATTTGGGTGGCAACAAATGACATAATATCATATTAACTAATAAAAATTAACACAACTTTTTATTTTAATTATAAATACCAGTATTTTTTTATATCTTCTCTATGAACATAAATCACCTGTAATGGGCAGGACATGAAAGATGACGGAGAGTACGGGGTAAAACACGGTGAAGAACTGATCATGTGACACTAAAATGATGTCTCCACGCTCTTTGACACAGAGAAATTAACAATTTACTGTAAACAATCTACCAAAAAATATGACGTGGCAGCCTGCGTTGTTGTCCGCTCTTAAACCAATAAACACTGACTCCGGTAATACTGTACTTAACTTGTCAATAAATGACAGACCCTCACATTGGTGGTTTTATTACCATATACCGGTATATAAAATTGATTGTGTTTTATTTCTTTTAGGCTTTACTATCCAGATTCATGAGTCTATTATCTCCACAAATCCCTTATTTATTTTTTCGTTTGGTTAAGTAGGATCTTAAACCTATTCTATGCACATTATAAATTATGAGAATTATATTGTTGGAATCAAATCCCATAATAATGAGTTTAAATACATTTCCAATTTCTTTTGAGTAAGATTGGTTAATGAGTGAAACTTATGTTCTTATATTTTATTTTCCCTCCCTAGTTATTACTTCTTGTTGGCGTTGCTGTTTATCAAATCGTAAATTATCTGCAAGACCCATTGTCAGATTTATAGCTGAGTGGGGGGGCCTGTTCAACGACCAAGAAGGCCAAGATTATTTATTAACGACTCTGCCATATATGACATTATTAGTTGTAATTTCTATAATGAAACCATTTGGAAATAAAACCAATTATACAACAGAACATTAACTTTATTTATGACAACTAATGAGTCAGCTCACATCATTTTATGTATACTGTATATGAATTCATAAATTATTAAACTACAGACACATATATGTAATGATAGTTTAAGTATATAACATTTACAGGAAAGAATTATATAAACTGAAGTACAGCAACGAACAACTGAATGTAAATTAATTTTTCTCAAATAACCAACAAGACAATAATGAAAACTGATGATGTTTATGAAAAAATGACAACAGAGAAATAATGAGAAAATATTCCTTCCATTAATAACGTCCATATACACAGTACTGTACTCATTATGTGATAGTGATAATTAACTCAGTACAATTTAATTTTCCTGCTTTTTCCTCCAAGTTCAATTTCTGTGTAAGGTCTGCCCAAAATACAGTCAAGACCAGCTTACTTTTTCTACTTTGAGTCATTGAATGCCTATATTGTGTAAGCATGTGACAGTTGAGAAGGAGTGTTCACATATTGCAGTGCTTGTACCAAATGTGAGGGCAGCCGCATAAAGCTTGTGTATGTGAGTTAATCCATTTCAGAAAGGATATGATATCTTGAAATTTTCACCAATGTTTTTGAGAGCTGGGCAATAAAATTCTTCAATAAGTCACTTAGCAACATGACATTCACTTACCAGAAGAGACGACTCAGTGTCGACACCTATGAGTTTAGCCAATGGGACAAGATTTTCCGGAAGTAATAAACAAGTCTTGGATTCTGGCCAACGACTAGAAATGACTAAGTAATCTCATATTATGTTCACCAAACTCAGCATTGAGTTCACCAAGGCAGTTATCTAAAATATTGTAGTACAGTTGATGATGTAAATCAGCTTCACTATCAAAACCATGAACATTAGAATGTCTTACAGTTGTTTCAGTCACTGTTAAGTATTGGAGCAGTTTGTGTTTATACCAACAGACCCAAAGGCAGTCCTGGTGGATCAAGTTTCCAATCTAGATCATTGGAACAACTCATTGGTAGGGGTACCCGCTCTATGGCAGTTCCCAGGAATATAAAAACATTTTCACTCTCCAAATTTTTTTACAGCATATTGAGATAGAATATATTCAAAACTTATGAAATGACTTTGTTGATAAAAGTCTTGTTTCCATATAAATTAAGACCGTCAGTTATTTACAAATGTGATCATGAGCACACAGCCATGCATCAGCCAACACAGTCCCACCAATACTGGAGTCTCGAGTACAGCAGACAGTGTTTTAGAGAAGAAACAACAGCATATACTTATAGAAAACCTCTACAAGTAGATGGTGCCTGTACTGTATTGATAGAGATAACACCAGAGAGAGAAAAAAGGAAGGTTTACATCTGTATTCCTTTACTTTGCTGGAGACAAACTGGGTCATGATAAAAAAGGAAGTGGCTACTTAACCAGGAGTTCCTGGCTGGTCACACTGGAGGTTATGTGAGAGGGTTATGCCTCCCAGTCATTGCTGACTTCTTAGAAGTGCCACACAGTCCTCAGCCTCCCTCACCTTCGGTGACTGGAGACAGGCTAAACAACTTAGCAACGTTTAATGTCATCGATGACGGCCCCGTTAAGGTGTGGGAAGCTATTTCCCACGCCAAAGTATAACATATGAACAAGAATGATATTAAAGAACTCATAGAAGAAGAAATAGACGCGCAGAGAGAAATTAAGAGACCCGACGGAAAATCCACCTCGGCTCTAGTTGGATTTTTCCACAAACTTCCAGAGACGGTCACACTGGGATGGGACATCGTCTGAGTGAGATCTTACGTGCCATGACAGACCAGATGCTTCAAGTGTCAGCGGTACAGTCACCCACCCAAAAAATGCAAGGCCCCAGAAGATGTGTGCTACAGATGTGTGTCTTCTGGACACCAGGCGGTCGAATGTCCAGGTGGTCGGAGGTCGTAAGTCGGGGAGGAGCTGTAATCTATATGATGAAGAAAAAGACCCCACCACTAACACCAATGGTAGGAGACTTATCTCACTTTTCGGTGCAAATGAAGATGTTAGGTTATGATCAACCTAATGGAAATGTAACTGAGAAAGGAATTAGAATTAACAAGTGGGCATCCATTCAACAAACAGAATTAGTTGCCATACTTTCAGCCATTAAATTTATTTAAATCACCATCACCGACAGTCTCGTCATCACTGACTCTCTATCCTGCTTGCTCTTAACTTAAGTTGTCACGCATTTGTCTGTGAAGCCAGACACAAATGTGGACCTTGTTGATGGAGGTGTCAAGATCAAACTGTTGTTGATCCCTTCTCACACAGGCCTCAAAGAACATGACAGAGTTGATGCCCTCGCCAAACTCACGTCTAACAAAGACACTGTTAAACACAATTTGGGTCTGTCAAAAAGAACCCTTAAAACTGTAACTAGGAAAGAACAGATTGATGAATTTGATGCAAGCAGACAAGTGCAAACAGTCATTAGTCAATACAGTGTTTACCATGATGAGAAGTATCAAGTGAAACATGTATATGGAGCAGGGAACTAGATAATGGAACTGCTAAAGTAAGATAAGGATATAAGTAC